TTTTTTTTTTTTTTTTTTTTTTTTTTTTTTTTTTTTTTTTTTTTTTTTTTTTTTTTACAGTCGTCAGTTACGTGGCTTATTTTGAGTGACTGGATGATTTTAATTAATTTGGCGTAATTTCAACATCAAGGGGTTGACTTGCATTATGATGGACGCTGCCGCCCACCGACCTACCAGTAAAGATCCGACGCACAGTTAAAGCCTTCCATGCCATGCATATATGTGCATGCAAACCCCTTTTGACCAACCCTAAATTAATTCCACTGTTTTTTTTTTTTGTTTTGTTGAATCAATCACTGGTTACTGACATTATTGTATGAAGGATGATATCTTAGCTTTATAAATGTGATATCAACCAAGTTATGAAGGAGTGGTTAATCAATTCTATTCAGTTTGATTTTATTAATCAACCACATGATGCCATGTGACAAGTTTATTTTAAACATTTCTTTTTTGGTACAAGTTAAGTGTTACTCTTTTGTGATGGGTGTATGTTAAAGCTGAGAAGGTAGGTTAGGGATGGTCTAGGCGATGCATATATTATTGTCTCTTTTTTTTTTTCCCCTTTTTTGAATCAGAGTTATTTAGGGGTATGATTGGGGACAAAATTAAAGGGTGAATACAATTACGATATGGATGTGATGGATTTGGAAAACAAAAATTCCATTAGACTCGTGGTTGTGTGCTCCAATGAAGAAGGGTAATTGGTGGTGTGGCTAATGTTATAATTTGTGATGGGTTTTATTAGAGTTGAGATTTAGATCCATGCATGACATGGGATGCCCAAAATTAAAGAAACGGTACGCGCTGCCGCCTACTTTATTGGTTGCAGAGCAAAAAACGAAGCCAGTTGGCAAGAAAGCTCCTTGTGTTAAGAAAACAAAAAAAGAGAGGGGAGTAAAAGGCAATAAAGCCCAAAGCCAAGGAAGAATATATACAACGCACTTCCATGCGAGCGCATACCGAGGAAGCTTCTATCTTTTCTTTTCTTTTCTTTGTTCTTATTTATTAATCTAAACAGGCCCAAAGCCGAAGCTGAGGATGCATGTGCCATGCTCCCTCTGCCCACTTCTTTTCCAATTTCGCCTTCCAATATTTAGACTTAAAGCAGATGGAATCAATTTAGCAATCATATGGAATGCCCCTATTTTCTTAATTATATGATCTCGTTTCATTACCACATTTCGTACTGCACAAGCTTCTTTTGTTTCTCCCTTTCCCTCCCCTTTGGACCTAGCTGCCCACTCAGTTTTGTTCAAACTTTATTTATAACCACCTCAAACAAAACACCAGAACACAATTAATTTTATATTTCTTTTTCTTAAGACGCAGGAGTGTTTAATCAATTCTTTTTTCTTTTTTTTTATCAGTTTCATTTAAAGACTACTCATCAATTGATATTAATAGTTCGTCCAACATGCCTGGGCTGGGTGGCTTCCTATTCAATTCATTTTAGTATATTGGGTATTTATTGGAAGGCCCGCAATACCAGGCCTAGAGACTTTGGTTAGATGGGCCCATCCACAAACGAGGAAGAAATCGGCCCAATCCAGTCTGTACGGACCGTCGCAAATATCCGTTTTAGAAATTAACAATAATGATTGAAAACTAAGTGAGGGATGAAGAGCAGGAAGTAGAAGTTGTTATGGATGATGGTGTATACAGTGAAGTGATTAGGAAGCGTTATGAAGTACTTAGTACTTATACAGTGAGAAGTCATGGAGAATGGGAGGAGTGAGAGTGAAGGGTATCACAGATATCAGCGGGAGGAAGAAAGTAGTCGATGCTAAGGCCAGCCACGTTGAACATCACGTCGTCAATACTCCAAACCTCTTCCATACGGGTCCTGCTAAATTGTGTGGACATTTCCCCAAACTTGAAGACAGTGGCTATGGACCTGCCCCGATGAGCGATGAGGACCCCGTCCACGTCCCTGTAGTCCCCGATGCTGCTTCCGATGGTGGTTTCCCAGTACACAGCGTCGCCTTCCGTCTGAACCCTGGTCAGGTGGGAGTCCTCGAGGTACACCAGCACTCCGCTCTTCTGGCAGAAGTAGCCGTACAGCACGTGCCTTATCACCTCCGCAGGCCCCTCGTTCCGCTCCATCACTGCCTCCCGCTCCGCCGACACCTTCAGCACAAAGCACTCGTCTTCCCCGATCCGCTTCTCTCCCAGGCATTGGGCCTTCTCGAACAGTCTCGCTGTTCCCTTTGGGTCAAGCCCCTGCACATTCAATTATTCATGTCTCGCTTTCCTTTTTTCCTTCCAATAATTTCAATTTCATTTTCATTACTCATCGAGATTGCTGCACTTTCCGTGACCCCATTCGTCTTAATATATTGCAAACAAATCCAATGGCATCCGATTTTATNGTGTATTTCATGAATAAATTAAAAATTTTCTTTTTTTAGGAGTTAATTAGTCTTAAAAAAAAATATTTTGATCGTGGGGAATAAAGGAAGATGGGTGAAATTTATTTTTTTAATTTATTTTTCATTTAATTGGTTGACAGAGAATCGAAACGACGACGTAGAGATAGAGAAGACCATTGCAGTAATAATTGGACTCATTGCTGGAATTGCCTTCATCGTTGTCTTCCTCGCTTTCCTAAGCCATTATTGTGACAAACAAAGAGGTATATATGCAATTAAATTATTCTTTATCAATTTTCAATAATTAAAAGAGTCATTACAAAAAAAAAAAAATTAAAATTATTTTTTATTATTTTATTTTTCTTTCACAATACTCTTGGAAAAATTTAATTGAATAGACAAAAAAAATTAACCTAATTCACTCGGTATTCGAATCTCGACAGGTGGCAAATGAAGTGAACTTTAAATGGATGCTTCTGGAACGCCTTCTTTTTAGCAATTAAAAAAAAAAGAGAAAAAGCTCATGAGATTCGACATGTCGGACCCACTCAACTGCAAGCTTTATCCACGTATGAAATTACATATTGCTTGTCTTTTTTTTTTTTTTTTTTTTTTTCCCATAATATTCAGGGCCCTTTGGGACCCTGGAATGGAGAAAGAGGGAGGAGTGACGTTAGCAGCATAATCAATCACGTGCCGTCCATCATCCATCCCCAAAAATCCGAGTGTTTCACTGTTGAAAAAGCAGAGGCGTGTACGATAAAGCAGGGGACAGTTTCTCTATCATTGTCAGCTATTTCTTGGGATTGTTCATTTCTTCCACACTCTCTTCCTTCCTTTGTTTGGTAAAGCATTTTTGAATATCTCTACTTTACCCTGTTTACCATACACCATCACATGACTAAATACAGCCCCACCCCTCTTTTTCATTCTCACTACCTCTCATTCTCATCCTTGAAAACGCTCAAACTAACAAAGAAACGGATTTGTATGTTGTTAACTTGGTAGAGTAGAGATGGGATGATTAATTTAATGGGAAATTAATTAAAGGGTGAGTAAGTAGAATACCTGAATAATGCGACGGAGGGGTCGTTGGGGGCCTTTGGCGGCATGAGTGCCGAGCCAGGGAGTGTGGCGCCAGACGGTGTTGCCGTCGCTGCCGGCCACTACCTTACTGCCACCGACTACCAATTCGAGGGACCACATACCCGGTAGCATTTGCCAAAGGACAAAGCAGCCGGTGTCCTCGCATCTTGTCCCTACCATCTTCACGGATTTGCCTGAGGAAACCTCTGTTTCGCAGCGAATCATCTTCACGCTTCCCGTGGTGTACATGTTCTTGGCGCACTTTTGCTGTTTAAGACATCCGGTGGCGGCCAAGTATTGCTGAATGATATAATGAGCCACGGAAGTTTCCTGGGGAAAAAGAAATCAGGGATTAACTCAAAAACTTAATTATCAAAACTTCAACAGTAACGCAGAAGATGTTGGAGCTTACAAGAGGAGTATCGCGTGGGAAATGGGATTGTGGAGGGGAATTGGAATAGGAGTGGAGGGGAATGGGAGCGAGAGGGCATGCGAGCACGCCGAGCAAAAGCTTCAAATCTTGGGTCTTGGAATTGGGAACGTTGGTGAAGGAGGATGGGGGGAGAGAGGGCGGGAGGTTGCGCTGGATCTTGAACCAGTCGCGGAGGAATTCCCAGTTGGATGCGGAGGAGTCTTTCTTGTTGGCTTCTTGGTCTTGGAACTGCGGATCCGGCCCTTCCATCAACGGAGTCAGCGGCTGAGAGTACCAAATTTGCCTTCTCCTCGACTTCGAAGAAGAAGAAGAAGAAGAAGAAGAAGAAGACCCGCCGCCCCCAATCACAACCGCCGTCGCCATGCCCTTCCTTCGACCTCAACCAGATTTCACACAAACTAACAATCAATTAATCTTATAAACTCACAAACTCCCTCGGAATTTGAAGAAAGACAGAATATGGCGGTGAGACACTCACTGGACAAACTCCCCTCGGCCCTATGCTATATATAAATATATTCAACAAAAATACATTGGAAGATGAGACCAGACTTATAAAATGAACCCACTTGAGGTCCGTATCCTTGCTTCACCGCAAATCCGAAAGATTCCGGGTGTACCTTTTTTCTTTTTTGGAATTTTTTATTTCATCCCTCTATTTCCACTTTTTAATTTTTATTTCATTATCTCATATAATGAAAATTAAAAATAAACAACCTTAAATAAGCGTGCAATTATTTACTACATGATGCATTGTTTTCTCTAAATCCACCTAATCATCAATATTCCGTATCAAACTTAATTACATTCCATATTTTTCATCAATCATTTTCTAGATAAACATTTATTATAGAGTGAATATTGCAACAATTATTCAAGTATAGGGTAAGGATTGTAAGAATTACGAGGTGAACATCTCGATCGTCTTCGTTTAAAATGAGTTTTTCAAGGACAGTGTCGGATGACAAAAGTGTGTTGGCATTGTGCATCAACCCATGTGTCGAAGGTTGATATATGCACCTGGGATAAAATTCGTAAAATGGCATGACATGGACACGAAGGATTCATATCTCGATAAGAACCCATGTGGAGGATGTTCGGGATATTCCATTGAGACGAGCGACACATGGATCGGTCTCCATAGACACGTCGGAGTAAACCAATATAGTCGAGTTGTACCAAGACATGGGATGACATCACAATGCATGAGTCGCACTATTGTAGAATCAAAATGGTGATTGAGATATGACGTTGCACTTGAGAGACGCCAACAAAGAGTAGAGGTAAGATCAAGTCGAATGATTTGACCCAAGTCGCAGACGCTTGAACATGCACGCACGAATACTGTAGGTGGTCAAATTGTATTTAGTTGGTGAAAGTAACCTCGCTAAGATCTTCCTATTGACCTCAAATGCTTTGGATATGTCAAAAACGACTTTGGGACGATTCCAAATGATAGGAAAGAGTTTGAAATTGTGAAATACGAACCAAATAAGCTAAATGGAGCCGCTTGACTCGAAGGGCGCGGGTCGCTGGTGAGCGTCGTGCTTGTGGGTTGAATCGTTGATGGGTTGGGAAGGGGGGTGGGGGTTGAAATCTGTTGGGCCGAAGGATGCACATCGTGGGCTGGTGCTTATTGGGTCGAAGAACACGCACCGTGGACCAGGCGTTTGTTGGGTCTGAAACGGGTGATTGGATTGGACTGCGACGTTTTCATGGGCTTGTTGTGGGGCATTAGATAGGATCTAGGCCACGAAGTCATGCGGGCCGTAGGAGAATTATGAAATAGATGAGTGGTTAAAATTCTAACCAAAACACATATTATTCAAGTGGGGATTAAACGACTGTGCATCCCAAATACATATTAAATCACCGTGAAAGTAAATAAGTAGAAGTTAATTAATTAGCTACTTACCCAACCCCCCCCGGGTTTTAGATGGAAGGGTAAAAATGAAATTCCGGAAGCAAAAAGGAGCTACGGTTAAAACTTGAGGCGGAACGAGCAATTAACCTTGGGTTTTCTTTTAGATGGAAAGGTGAAAAAATGAAATTCCGTAAGCAAAAGGACCTACCGATTAAAAGTCGGGACCGAACCGGAACCAGCAATTAACCTTGAATTTACCAAGGGTTTCTCTCACCGAACCGCACTCCTCTCTCACATTTTTCCTCTTCCCCCGTTTCCTTCTCCCTCCCGCCTTTCTCTTTCGCAGAAAACCATCGTCTCGTTTCCGCGCCACCACTTCTGACTCGCCGTGCTTTATTAGCCCGCAGTTGATCTGCTCCGGGCATTTTGTACCCCATTAGAGATAAAATGGCCCACTTATTCATCTCCGACGAGGAGTTCTCTCGGCACTCCAACGACGCTGCTTTTATTGCCGAGAAGGCCGATGCCTTCATCCAAGGTCTCTATAGCGAGCTCGAGACCGTCAGAGCCCAAGCTGATGCTGCTTCAATCACTGCGGAGCAGACTTGTTCTCTTCTTGATCAGAAGTTCCTCTCTCTTTCCGCTGAGTTCTCTGACCTCCAGTCTCAAAATGCACAACTTCAAACGACCCTCGAACTTAGACTCTCCGAGCTTGCCGAAGTCAAGTCCCAAACGCATCAGCTTAATCTACTTTCCGTAAGAACGCTATTTTTTTTTCTTCCTTTCATTCCCTTCGTCGAGCGTTTACGCGCATTTTGTTAATATGAAATATTTTAAGCATTGGCTTTATTGGTGCTTACAGATTGGGAAGGATGGGGAGATAGAGAGGTTAAATACAGAGTTATCTGAGTTGCATAAATCAAAAAGGCAGTTGATGGAGCTTATTGAGCACAAGGACTTGGAAATTGGTGAAAAAGATTCCACTATAAAGAGTTATCTTGATAAGATTGTAAACTCCTCTTACTACTTTGACTTGCCATCCAGGCAACAAAATTTGTGATAAAAATTTAAACTTCGGCTGATAACATGTCTTCCTGCTGAACATGTTTCTTTTCGTTCGTTTTGAAGGTCAATTTGTCTGAGACAGCTGCTCAAAGAGAAGCTCGTATCAGTGAGATCGACATGGAGTTGGTGCGCTCCCGGGCTGAATTGGCTCATCTTTCACAGGTAACCATTTCCTCATTATTGTCTAGTTCTACCTTCGTTAAGAAAAAGTCTGTTCACGTTGGCAATTGAACTTCATAATATCGATGATTAGTTACCTCAATACGTGATTGCGAATTTATAAGTTGAAAAATCAACTTCCTTCAGGTAGGCTCCCATATTCCATTTCATGTCCCCTTCCCTCCTCTCTTTGTTGTCGACCTCTATCTTTCCGGCCCTCCTATCCTAGGGCTTATGGTGAACCCCCATGGGTTGGTTTTGTGTTTTCTCAAAAGCTTGAATTAGTTGGGGCAGATTTCCAATAATAATAATAATAATAATAATAATAATAATAATAAAAACCAAAAAACTCAAGCCAATGCTCAAAGCTTGTATGAAGATATTTTTTGAGATATGTTCTATGTTGATGTATATTCCAATATTCATGATCTAGAGTAAGTTTTGGGGCTATTTTTAAAAGATCTATGTTTTAAGAGAAAATCTTTAAAGCTGCAACTTTTGGATATATATCGGAAGAAAATCTAAGGTCTAGGGATAAAATATATAAAGTTGCAACTTAAGGATATTATCTTGGAAGCGGAGAGTGACAGAGGTAAAAACAGAAAGCTAGATGGCTCCTTTTTTTGAACATTTGTCCTTTTCATTAATCAATAAACCGACCTGTGAACAATCCCAGATTAGTGATTTTGGTGTTTCAAACCAACCCAATTTCGAACCAGCTGTGTTTTTTTTCTCCCAACAGACCTAAGCTGAATTTTCCTCGTATCTGCAACATGGATTGGTCTTTCAAATTCCAGATTTGCATCTTTCAATTTGCATGGGTTTATTTGAACCAATTTCTTCTCTCATTTTAGATTCAGTAAAGGT